TTCTGGGTTGATGAAGTACTATTTTCGTTTATTGACTAAAAATAATAAATTATTCATATTACAAATGTTTTAATGGCACATTAAGATTCGTAAAATATCAGTGATAAATTGGATAAAAAGCCGATTCATAAAAATAAATACTTTAGTTTTTATGAAAACATAAACGCAAAAATGTGTCCGCAAGACACTTGTGGGTTGTTAAGGGTTAAAAGAAATCAAAGTGGATAGATTTATATACAAGTAAATTTATAGATATACGTTCTAACAATCTTAATGCAAGTCAAGCTTACCCTTGCAATGCCTTCTCTCCGAAGAAATCGCCTTTCGTGAGAGTTCTTATAAATTTCTCATCATTACTGTTTGGTGGTTTCTGAGTGACTTTCACCTGAAAAAGAAATAATAATGACATAAGACTCTGTTTCTTAAATAATTCTAAATGAAGGAATAGTATACCATCCATAATTTTTGTAATCGTTGTATTGTTAAAAATGGTCGTAATTAGCCATTGACGTCAAAATTGCTGACGTTTTTGTAATGGCGTAGATGCAGACCATAATAACAGGTCGAGTGAGCTTATTACCGTTATTATAAAAACGTGGAGCGGACGTTTAGACAACATCGAAAGTTGTCATTAAAAGCCGGATGGACTTGAAGTAAGGCACGGAGGGATAACGGCCACTCATGTGCAAGCATCATAATACAGTTCGCAATTTAGTCAAGAGCATGTAATTACCGGTTCCGCTATGTAAATTAGTAATTAGCCTGCACAACTGATAAGGGAAGCAATAAATTCTTTTATATTTCTCAGGAAACCTAAGTCGGTAGTAATTGGAACAGGCAACGGTAACAAAAAGCTGAATCAGACTTAATCAGAACAATAATCACGAGTCCAACTGTACATACGATATAATAATAAAATAAAGCAGGAACTGAGCTAATTCAACAATGAACTGAAACGTGATAAATGCTCAATGATGCATCAAAACTATAATGGCCGAAACGTTCACACCTCACGACTAATTAAAAGTCTAAACATAAACTGTTTGTGTTTGGTAACCAGACCAGCTATTCCTACTTTTGTTTGTTATATTAAAAAAAAGCGTGAACTTACAATGTATGTTATATGAGGATCATAAAAATCTGTTTGATAAAAGACAGAAAAGTGAAGCGCTCTCTATTCCAAATATACCGGATGCGGCTTTACGACGAAGTTAAGTTACATGTGAACCAGATTTGGATAAGGAGGATTCAACTAAAAGACATACAAACATTGATGAGATAACAGCGGAAATGCTAAAGATAATGTAACATCAAATAACAATCGCCACTGATGAAGTCATCCGAATAATTTTACAAGATCAACAAAACGGGAACTATTGTCACAGCTCACTGATTTAAGAGGTGCTCGCTTTGTAAATGTTTATTTCTTAGAATTTTAACAACTGATCTAGTCGGTCATTTTGTGTGACCAATTGTGTGGTCGTTTCATATTTTGATTTTAAACAAAGCAAATAGAGGTAGATCCTGTTCTGTTTTTTACCGAATTAGTGCAAGTTTAAAATATTTTTTGCTAAATTGCAACATTTCTTTCAATGCCCGCTATTACTAAACTATTATTGATTTTACCAAACTCGTTTTTTTATTTTAAAAATTAATTTGGTCGTGGCATCATTACATGGTATGATTTGAACACCGCAATTTTATTGACAACTCGAATAACTCTTTCCCTGATTGCCTAATACAAATAACCAGTATTTAAAGCGCATTACCACACCAATCCATCCATGGCAATTATAGGCCAAAATAATTTCATTTACATATTGGTACATAAACATACTAAATCATCACGTAATGTAACTACATTTATAGCTGTACTAACTTTATTGGCAATGTGAATATTCAACGGATTACCAAACTTAATTACTTCAAAAATTGGGAACATTTCATTTGTAATAATGAAATAATCATTAAATTTTGAGAAGAATAACAATATTACTCCATTCTTACGACGTTTTGTTAAACTTGATTCGTTGTTTAGTCATTTCACAGGTTTTTAGAACAATGCTCCCAATGCTGTAGCAACCTTGCAGATTTGTAACGCAAATGAAAATAATGTTCTACTCCACCAAGTAAGATATTTTCCTCATTTTTTTAATACTACAAATAATCTCGTCATTGACGCTCAAATTAGCAAAGTGAAATCTGCCATCGTACACAGTATAGGTATGGCATTACAACTAAGCTTGAAAAATCTCATTTATATCCTTCAAATAAAACTTTGGATCCAGAATCTAAAGCCTTATTTTAAATGTCAACGTTCACATAAAATTTCGTTCTACCATTAAAATATTCATAAAAATTTGTTCATAATGTTGAAAATGTACAGATTTCAATTCATCTGCTTTGCCCAAGAACTTTACATATAATGGCTTAAATATCACCAACTAATGTTTATGACTTATAATATTATCTCTTTATCAGCTAAATAACAAAAATCTAAACGAGTTTATAGCAACTAGTAATAGAGTGGTTCCGTAATAAAATGTTTGTATTCAAAGTTTATCTAGAAATATTTGTTAATTGAGCTGCGTTAAATTGCTTCATTCGCTACGATTTTTTATACAAACAAACTTATGCAGACGAAAAATGTTTATAATTCTGCACGAAACGAACACATGTACAAATGTTAACATTCAGAATAACTGTTCTATGGCAATGACTTTCTACCACCAATCAGGGTAAAGTTAAATAGAATACTTATTTTGAATCCTGTCAGATTCCTGTTTTAGAAACAAAGACAAGATTCAATTCAAACAATAAGTCCGGTGTGCCCAAATATTTCCCACGAAATACTCAAAAATCTGGCCTCAAAATACCATACAATCCTCTCGCTTATGCACAGTGCGCTGACCTTGTGGCCACAATAGCCGGGCTTTTGGCCTCTACTACCTCCGTGTTATATAAAAATTGAGTCACACCAGTGATTGTTTGTACAATGTTACGATCTACAATTAGTCCTATATAAATTAAAACATCATCGCAATCAATTCTGAGTTTGATTAAAACTGAACAATGACCTCTAGCAAATGGATAAAGTTTTAGTTAGCTCGCATTAGAAACATGACCAAGCAATGACGATGCGTTTCTTATATAGGTAGTGTTTATTTTAGAATGTTGAACGTCCATTCCATCCTTGAAAGGTGTTGAATGTTTGTCAGCAATTTCGACTTCAACAACTTACTGTTTATATATCAAGGATAAAGTGTAAAGTCATAATATACATACCTACATTTACACCGGTCAGAAATAACAATCAATGTTTGCGGAGACGTAATGCTAAATGCCAAGGTGAACCTCTTGCACAGTCACCGCGTTTACTGCACGAAGCTTATACAATTTAGAGTCATGCGAACATAAAGGAAATAATGTTGAGACTTTCGAAACTTAGTCTCTTATAAATAGGTAGCTACATGATCACAACACAATTGTGACAGCAAAATGTACAGTTACACAAACACGAACGATTGCTACAGCTTCTAATACATCTTACTTGAATCATAGATTCTTTTAACACGAATTATGATGACATATATCCCGACCATATCAATATTAAAAACTATGAAATAATCAGTCTACAAAACTTTATCTTACTCTTAACAAAGAAAACTACAAAACCATTCCAAATTTTAACCTTATAATTTGCTAAAATTTTATCCGATTGTGGATAAAAATGTCGATGACTAACACAGAGTCTAAAAGAGCATAAATACAAAGCCAGTGTTATATCATCAGGAGAAATATTTTGAAAGCGAAAAGATGATTACAGATAATCGAATTACGTGGTTCTAAAGACGGATATGTTTACAAAACATAGAGGCGTGGTCAAAGGTAAAAAAGTCACGTCGCTCCGAGCATTGGACACTCGAAAGTTGGTCCAAACAACGAAAGTGAAATTCTCGAGGTCCGTGAACATCTTCATACAATTATGTTTGGAACAGATTTCTTTGAAACACGATGTCATCATAATAAATGACCACAACATAATGAAGTTATTCGAAAAACTATTTTTAGATGACAAAGTGATTGTCAAACTAATGTTCTTACTGATAAAAGTAAAAAATCTTGTAACCATCGAATTAGAAAGTCGTTAACGCATTAGAAGATGAAGAAAACCATTTAAGTAATAGCATCATAATTTCCCATAAGTCATTCTTTGGTATTACGATTAGAATAAAACATCGATAAGTTTTGCATAAACAAGTATTATTACTGGTCGATTTAGTGGACTATGACTAACAGTGTCTATTTAAAGACAGACCATGATATAACGGCAAATATGTCAACGTTCACTCTGAAATTTATTCTTGTCAACAAATAGATTGTTCTTGCAGTTTTGAACACCATTATTCTTATAATCTTTTAATATTAAACAGAGTTAATGACTTGTTACTTAATAACCGAATACAGTTATGATATGATGAAATCTTGACCCTATTGCGGAAGATATGATTAAATTGATTATGCCAATCGCTACCGCGCAATATAAAATAGCGCTAGTTAAAAAATTAATTGGAAGATTGAAGTTCCGGGGCTGTATAATTGAATTGATAAAAATCATTCACCAACAATACTCAAATTCCTAATCCCCAAAAGCCCGGTAACGCATTCGTGGCACCGATTGCTTACCATCAGGTGATCTGTCTGCTCGTTTACCGGCTTATTTAATAAAAAATCCATAAATAAGATGTTTACCTGTCCCTTAGAGATAATGAAGAAAGTATCACCACGGGCGCCTTGTCTAATGATGTAGTCACCGTTCTGATAGTGAGTCTCTTCCAATACGTCCGATATCTTGATAAGTGTGTCTTCGGGCAAATCTTTGAAGATCGGCACACTGTTGAAAAAGAGACAAAAACATTATAAACTGGACCAAAGATTATGTCAGCAGAAAAAGTAGGCTCGACTGTTACGTTTGCAAGTAGAAAGTGTTTGGCCGTCGGCGTGTTATGGAATTTTTACGCCATAAAATAAACAAGCATGGTTTTTGTGTTGTTATAGTGTATAATTTGTTATTTCATAGTTTGTTCAGTACTTATTTCATGCTGAAGTCATTTTAGTTTATTTTTGTTATTTACATAATTTTCTTCGCACTGATGCTTCTTGGATTTCTACATTTGTGATTATTTTTAATCAACTTCGAAAAAAATTGTATTAATTTATATTAAAGTGATATTCATCTGCTTTCAAAATGGCCTCTCACAGGTGGTCTTAGTCCCTAATGGCATAACCGGATTACGTTCATCAATTTCAAGTTACAATCAAATCTCATATCATCTTAGACACCATAGCATTAGGCTATACTGCACTGCAGTAATAGATTTACTATAATTAAGGTCATCACTATGTTAAAAAAAGTATTTGCTCATACGAATACAACTTTTACTATCAAAACTTCATCTACGTCATATTCTCTCAAATTCCATCAACCAATTTTATAATAATTATAGTTGAATACTTATATAACTTTACCAGTCTTGGAGTCAAATTGCCTTAAGTTAGTTGTGTACATATTTTATCAATCCAACCAGCCGTTTGGTTGAAAGTGAACGTTAAGGCTGGTTGGTCAACTTTGAGTGGTTTCCTTTAGTGACTCATGTGGTGTAAACCTACCTCTAAATATAAATATACCTAAATCGCTTCATTTACTTAAAGATGTAGGTGGAAGTATAAATGACTAAGACTATTTTTGTGAGGATAATCAGGCTCGTAAACAGGTCTTTCATAATAAGAAATATCAAAAAGTTTAATAGATTGCACATCTATAGAATCTATACAATCTGTATAGATGTACAATTTATTAAACTTTTTGATATTTACATTATTATCTTTTCAATGAAACATATTCTAATTATTATCTTTTCCATATCGAAATTAGCTGACATCATACATATCTACTATAGTACACTATGGCATTGTTCTAAGAAATTCTATAGATCTTTTATAATCTGTACAATATTTATGAGAGCATTTTTTCTAGATTCATATTCATAAGCATTTACAGTAGTAATTCTAGTAAGATATTTGCTAAACTGATAAACCAATGTATCGATATACTTCTTATCCCCCTTTTCATATAATTTATAGCGAAAGTTTTTGTCAGTGGATGTTTAAAATAGTATTTTCCATTCAATTTATTTTACTATTCTACTTATATATAGTCTGTACCTCTATCGGACCTACTTTTCGAACATACAGTTTAGTTACGTTGTAAATCTGTACCAAACTGATTTCGAGAGTCAATACTATTAGATATTGTGAAGTGATAATCAGTAGTCTCAAAATCTTTGTTTTTCCCAAAGATCTAACTGAGAATCTCGTAGTAGTCGACTATGAATATAGCATAAAACAACCCATTTATCACAATAACACACGCGAAGTCAACAATTACGAATACAGTAAACGTATGATTAGAAAATATCTCGAACAATTTTATTGATCTCTATTTAATGGGCCTATAAACGAAGTCGTATTGAGAATAAACCACTTATCATACAATTAAACCCACATAAAAGAAACTAGCCAGCAGAACAGTACAATATTGTCGTAACTGTGCGTCACAGTCAGCGCCAATGGAAATTGCTTCCATCATATCATTTTTCACGGTCACTACACTATAGACAAAGAGACCCCCTTTTTATTTATACCAATACTTTTTGGTCATGATTTTGTCGGTTTAGCAACCACATCTTCTGGATATTGCGACCACCTTTTGAGTACGGTGACCAGATAGTATTAATTTTACTGGATGTGTGCTAAATCTCTGGTTTGTAAATTGCCTTTTCAAACACGAGACTAAATCTATTATTGGCAAAAAGTGAATGCTCTATACGTTCAGAGAATGAGGTAATGTCATATACTGTTAAGGAAACGTTTCGAAATATAATAAGATGCCTTATTCATCGTCAAATAATATATTTTATATCCTGGATAAAATTACAACACTGAGACAATATTAATAGCCTCTCAAAAGTCTATTTAAGCCTTACTTGTATTATAAATTATTATGTAAGGAACAGATTTATTTGGTTTCTTTTAGTTGTCTCCATTCTGACCTTAGTACAAGGTCCGAATGGCCTCGCCCAATTTGACAGTAGGTACGTAGTTCCGCAATGTCAAGCCGGATTGAATTTATTATATTGTATTGAATAGCTGGCGTTTTTGTTGCATCTACCTCTATTACTTTATTATAGAAAATGACTGGTTGGTCTAACCCGTTTTCGTAGGTTGAGGTCTTGTGACTTTTAGTCATGCAATTTTATAATTCTTTATACAAATAAAATCGGAATTCAAAGCTGGTTTTGGTAAGTTCATTAGCTTTTACTAAGGATGTTTACAGACCCTTCGTTTCTCTAAGTCTTTTGAGATCGAACGGATGCTCAATGAGCGATAATATAGAGTAAGCCCTCTTCACTAATTCGAGAAACGTTAAAAAAACCTTTGAGCACCGATAGAGACAAACCAAACTATTATCTAGACACACTCTTAAAAAATCTGCATAGAACAACAACAAGACACTACATAAGCGAGACTTATCTGCTTCCCTAAACAATAAGCAACAATAACATTGAGTAAATTGATATGTAGTTGCGTTGTTATATTGCAACATCCATCGTGTAACTTGAAGCCAATGTACAAACGGGTAATTAACTAAAGTATGTCGAGGCAGAAACTACTACACCACGATCAGTATCTTGGACAGAGGAAAACTTAATATCATTAGCGATTATCAACACGTATAACATGATCAGTGGGGCATCCAATATTTCATCAAAACGGCTCTTCTATTGGTGTATGGAAATTACAGTCCTTATTCTGTCAACTTGCTACAGTATTGTTCTTGCAATATTTTATTAACATGCTATAAACAAAAACAATCATAGGGAAATTACTGCAATTACCAAAAGGGTAATAATAATATTCATAAACATACACCAGTCGTCACAATCAAACGCGCAATAATTAAGTAATTACAGAGTAAACACAACATTAAAATACGATGCAAATAAAAGAAAACGTATGTAACCAAACATCAGTACTAAATATTTTACTACTACATACGTAATTAATACACGAACAAATAAACACAATGAAAACTATTATCAGTGATCTTCAAAAACGTTACAGAATCTTTCTAATGACTGGTAAATGACAATGATATCAAAGTTACCGTTACACTGAACATTAAACACACGTCTGTACATACCTACTGCCTGATTTTAATTGTCTGGAAAGATAAATAAGAAACTCTATTTAATGTTGACTTCACTGCGTTTATCAGTTACTGCAACGTGCCTCATGTTCGAAACCCGCACGAAAAAACCGTATGCATGATACGCAGGAATTTACCTTTGTAAACGAATTTACGTATGACACAGAAGTAAATATTAAAGCCAGTAGATATTTAAAAAGAAATTAAAGAAAACATAATGATGTTTATAATGCAATTGATCGCATGTGCCTGTTTGATCTAAGAAAAAGTTTTGAAGAGATCAGATTACTTTTGTAATATTGAAAATATTTGATCAGATACGTTAGTGACGTAATTGGAGAATATTATGATATAGAAAGAACGATGACAGACTACGTTCGGCTCGTTTGTATAAACCACAAGATTGTGATCGTGTGGGTTTTTTGAACAGATATCATGACCCTTCAACTGTTATGGAGCTGTTAATATAACTAAAGAGTAGTCGCCATAAGTACACATTTGCCTAACCCCTTCCATATCTTATCCATTTAAATTCTTGCTGATACAATCTATAATGCATTTCAAACCATAGCCATGCCACATCAAATCAACATTCCTACTTTGGCAATGACAATGCATGGCGCAACAAAACTAATAAATCAGTCTAGAGATCCAGACTAAAATATTACTTGCATTTTGATTACGTATCTGTTTTAAAAATTATGCACATCTTATGCACTGGCTAGTCCTGCTTTCTCAGAATAGATTACGTCTGTGCAGTGAAAGGATTGCAATCACAAAATGTCAACTTGCAAACGTGACGGCTAGTAAGTAAGTATTTCGTAAATTGCGCGCGAGTGCTTGGGCAACATTGCGTTGACACTGGTTTCGCCAACAATGGCTTTGTTTTATAGCTACTTCAATAGCTTAGATGAATATAAACAATCTGTGCGTGAACACTGAATTGCTTCAAGAGTTAAATGCACGTCAAACTATTGCGTGCTCATTCACAATACCAATGATCATCGTGAAGAATTGGATCAGCAAAAAGTGCTACAAACATACTTTCCTACTTTGATCTTAAAATAAAACTAAACTGTGTTGAATCTTAACCTGAATGCCGAAAGAAGATATATTTATTTTACTATCTAAGTCATTATTATTCTTATTTCCAACATCGAGCTGACAAGTTCTCAAATAAAGCAACAACCAAGATTACCATCGCAATAGAGACATTAATCTTGAAGATGATGGCTTCAACTAAGATGGATCACCGCACTACGAACTTGTACGAGTATTTCATAGGATATAAAGCAAGTAACAGATGCTAAGCATTCTACAACACGATACCCTTGATACTAAATGGAAGGCTGTCTAGAATTACACGACACTTCAGACATAAGCAAATAAAACTTTTATGGCTCTAGGGCTTAAAACGGTTTTAATATATCAACAAGAACTCGTATATCGATCCTATAAACTTTTCTCGGTATATTCTATTCAAAAGTATTTACGATTCGGTAAACATATTTATGCTACCGTGTTTCCGATACAATAATTTGAATGTAGGTTACCATTAATGTGAATGTTTTGATGTTTTTAACTCTCGTGGTGGTCGTTCCAATAACATCGTTCATGTTATTAATAAATTAACATTCATGCGTTGCAATCCGTTCACATACTCGGCTCGTGTCAAGGCCCGCACTGCAGACGGTATTGTAAGAGTGCGAGTTCGTCGAAAGCAGAAGAATGGGCCATTGCACGCCCATTGCATTTGCATAAGTCTCCTGAGGTCAATATCCTGCTCTGTCATCGGTGAATATCTCGGAGGGAAGTTTGTATTGTTACGTTCGACTAATATAGATATTTATGGAAATCTTTTAGAAGATGTTAATGAAGACTTGCATATTGTAGAGAACCAGTAGTCTCGAGGACATGAATAATACATCATTGTTAGCCAATTTCATGCATACGGTGAACGTAGAAACAAGTTATTGTCTCTTTTGTTTGTTATTCTTAACGTGTTAAATAAGACAAAAGATGAGTGATTATAATAAAATGTAAAATTGCTGTCTTGAACAAAACTTTATACCAAATAAAAAATACTGAATATAAAATTACCGTTATATAACAAGAACCAAATGAAAGTAAGAGGAATTAAAGAAACAGTTGAAGACGAAAATAATTGAAATTATAAAATAATCATTCGTTTTAAAATTAAAAGTCCTAGAAGGTAGTTTATGGGAACCAATAGAACAAAAATGTGTTCTAATGAGAATTAGGACATTTACGTATTACAGAAACGTTGTTAGAACAAAATACGAACATTTGTTTGTCAGTCAAGTCAACACAGAGGGGTTACTGACCTCAATACTGTAAACAACGAATCTTTTGAGGAAGGATAAGTTGAAATAGCTCGGCTATATAAAGATAAAACTTTTACAAAAAGTGAACATTAGTGTCGAATTAATTCCGTGCCAAGTGTGAATGATCTGCGGATTTTATTTAAAGAAATAACGCACACCGTTCTCACAATTATTATAAAAGAGAACGAGTGTTTGTGATGTATCATCGTTATAGAGTTTTAATGTCGCCATGAAACGATCACGAACATCATAACAATTTTGCCACATCTCTTTAGATTTCTGCTGACTTATTATATTAAATGTTAAAGATCAGGAAAATAGTTGCTTCAACATAACTCGTAAGTTAGTAGAAATAAATACTATCAAAATCACTAAATTTATAAAATCCTTTTCTTCTGGATTTAATTATGACACAAAACCCATAAAATAAAAGACCATTACGATTCTGCTGTAAACGAAGTAAAATACTGTCGAATTAATTTTGAAACCAATATTTGATACTTAGTAGGAAGGAACGGCATACCCTTCAAGTCAAGCCACCCACGGGCACATGTCCAAATAAAGATATTGAACATTGTTTTGTATCGTGATTGAATTTTAAAGCTATCCATTAGGTCAACATTACTCATAAGGATATGAAAGATTAAGTAAACGTACCCTAATAGAACTTTGATGACTAATCCAATAACGATATTGTATCAACCATGGAGTATGTTTGAAGAAGAGACGATGATAAAAATTGCAAAAATGAGTAGGACTTGTCTACTTGCAAAATAACCAGGATTTAGGAAGCTTCTAAGGATATTGGCAATAGGAAAATAAAGGCTCTTACCTCTTGAGGAAGTCAGTGTATTCAGCCTGGCGGATGAGACCAGTGCGCATCATGATGGTCTGGAAGCACTGGCGTTCGATGGCCCATAGTCTGCAATCGGTGGCTGCCTTGATGGTGGCGGTACGTTTGCAGTTGTAGAGAATGGCCAGCTCTCCAAATACCTTGCCTGGTGCCATCGTGCTGAGGTATTTGTTCTCCCGCGACACTTCCACGCGACCCTCTGTTGAAGAAAGGATATTATTAGTATTAAGAGAAACTTCAATTTTGGACTTTGATATTAGGAAATCATAAGAAATCATATGTGTTAAAGAATGTTGACTGATTGGGTAACTTAATGTGCTGGTGACTGTAGTTAATATTCGTCGCTAGGCAAAATAATACCTACTCTGCAAGTTTTCATAGGACATTTTACAAACGATATATTAATATTCAAGGATACGAAATTGAACAATTAGGTCTTTTAAATATTTATGCCGATACTATTATAAGTTCAATTATATACTGTTTGCTAAAACATAAATAATCATAAATCTATTTAGATATGAGTTATTGAGGGTAATGGCTTTTGATTCTAAGGCTAGACGGTACTCCAATTACTTATTAAATATACTTCTTTATAATTCCCTTTTTTAATTCTGTTGGTTTCGGTTAATAAATCGATTTATTAGTCAATCTGATCACGTAGCTGTATGAATAATTGAAACTGCATCGTATTCGATAAACTAATTCGTTTTTTTGTGAAAATTTTCCATATGGTGAACTTTATAACTTGTTTGACTGCAACATTCACGTTTACCAATTGGAATAATTTCGATATGATACAAATTAATAAATACTGTCAAGGTTGCTAAGATTGAAATTGTCGGCGGATATTTGTGACTCATTGCAGTGAATGGACGTGGTAGGACAAACATACAAACTTTTTAAAGATTATTTAGTTAAAAACTGTCTGAAGCCTCATATAACTCAAGGTTACTAGTCCTATGGCCGTTTTCGTCAACCACTAAATTATCTCTGAAGGAAGGGTTACCTACTTAGCCCGAAGGAACACCTAAAATAGTCTCTTACCTGCTCTGTTAGGTTTCACTTGTAGGTTGTTGAAAACCAAAATGCTTTTCAATGTTATATCATTATTTTAGATCAGGAGTTTCTTTAAATTTAAGACAGGTTTGTAGAAACGGGCACTACTCTCACAGTAGTAGCTGAGGTAGTAAATGACAACGATTTTTTATTCGACCTGCGTATTGAATCCAAAATACTTTTCTTAGTAGCTGACTTTCCTATTAACAATAATACTGAGCACAAGTCAATACAAAATATTTTGAATTAGAAAAACGTACCTATTATCAAGTTCTTTGGCTCTTATCGCAGCTGTTACTATCGACAATGTCATGATAAGTGTGAGAACAAATAAAGAGGCATGTGAAACCAGAGTTTAATGAATGAGTTGATTTGTTAGTGCATAATTATGCTTAGAAATATTTTAACGAGCGATGACGAACGAAGACGAATATCACACGATTGAGATTAAAGTATTGTGTTTTATGAGTAATGGTGAATGTGAAACGTCAATTATGAGTATGATGAGTTCTTTAAATATTTCAAATAATAATGATCCAATCAGCCTGCAGATATGAGACAAGAGGATAGTGAGAGATATGCCAAGATTTATGGTCTAAAAACAGTACATTGAAAGAAAGCAGTAATCTAAACACATATAGAGCCTCTACATTTAATACTCGATTTTTCCGACCAAATTCTCAATTTTTGTCAAAAACTAGAATTGTTTATTTGCCTTTCTTGCTTTCAAAAATCTAACAGTATCTCCCTCAATACGTACGTACGTAATCAAAATAAACTGAAACAGTTAATTCTAGTAGTTTCCACGTAAAAAATAACAGTTATCACCTATTGACTGATAGATGTGCGTTGTTCAACAATTCTGTTGTCCTTCCGTCCTATTGTCTACGTCTATATGAACTTCATTCCCGTTATTGCCATTCATCATTCGTGAATTAGCTATGTGTGCGTCATTTTAATATGAAATTCCTGAGCAACTTAGAATAGCTACATGGCTAAGCATCATAAACATCAACAGATTATAATTGCAGTCATGTCATGAAATCCAGTATGAAACCTCAAAAACTAAATCAACAATCTACATAGTACTAATGCCCAGTCCTCAAACGGTTACCGGTGACCGCTCTCCACTTACTACATTATAGACCTTATTACTGATGTCTGGAGACTACTTTTGCATGAACGATTGTTGTGGATTTTTTTCATAATCGAGTATTCAGAAGTTAAATATCCAAGTGCAATATTCATTGAATATGTTTCATAATAATATTTAGAAGAAGATAAAAGTATTGTCTCAAAAGACTTAAAACATCATCAAGACGATGTTGTTCATATTTTTGACTGTTTTGTGTAACGTCATATCATAGTCAAATATTTGCAAAGAAACGTTGAAGTAGCGCAACAAGGACATGAGTTCACCTCAGTTTTATTATGTTTGTGATCATATCTTTTTATATAATCTTGATTTTGTAACGCAATACGTAATATACATGCCTATCTTTATTAAAAAATCGTTGGAAAGATATTATTATTCATGTATGTTGGTTTTTGCAGTTACAAGTCATATGTCGATTGCTCGAACCGAAATTCTTCATCTACCTTTGAAGTACATAAACGCTAAAACTACAACAAGAATTTAGCGAATCAATGATTTATTTGACATCAGCACTAAAACTTTCATTGGTGAAAACTGTAAATTTCTAAATCATGTGTGAAATGATTACAATGTAAAATACTTCGACAGTAATACGCTAGAGATTGTCAAGTTCACTTTTTATGTTGATAACTTTCTACGTGTGATTTTTAACATTTGTCTTCGAACATCGTTTATGATATAGTACGCGTCTACAGACCGCGAAGATTGTGGTCTAATTACAAAGTCGGGCAAAAAGTGCTAATGAATTTTGCTGTTAAGAAATTAACAGCAGTTAACTGGAGTCTGGAAGCCAAAGAATTAAAGAGCACATAAAAGTGTACATTTTTATAATACTACGGTGTAGGACATAGTGATACACATAAGTAAGATTGTTCATTCATACTTGTTCTTCTGGAAAAGAAAATATTCAGAATATTAAAAAAACTATGTCAGTCCTAATAAAGGTATGAATTACTGATGACAAAGTATGTCCAAGTAAATTTTAGCTATTTAGACCAACCGATGCAGATAAGCTGACTCTTAAGCCACTGACCAAACTAAGAACAAGAAAAGCACTTTAAACTTCACCTTTATTCAAATCCATTTCAATGCATTCCGTTTCTACATGAGCCAAAGCTATCATTACCCAAATCTGGATTTAACGAAATCTGTGTGGGATTAGAGGTAATAAAATTTTTAAGTTTACCTTAAAAAACACTTTTTATGACTTTAGGATTAGCTCTTTGGCTAACAGGAACGAGATTTTAATCTCGTGAATTATCTTATACTTCGAAAAGTAGTATTCAAACTTTCGTGAGAAATACTAATAAATTATTATGTTTTTAGCTTAATCAAAAATTTTAGCAGGCTGCAAACACTAAATGAAACCTTAATAACACCAATTAACAGGAAATCGCAGAAAATTTTACAAATCCTATAATTATTTCAAATATCATTCAAATTGCTGTTCCAGTTGCAGTTGACGTAAATGAAATAGTCAAAGACCGAAAGTGTTTCAAGGTGATTGACTTAGAACATAATGCTGGGGTCAGGAGTTCGGATACGTGTCCAGGCTTACTTACAGCCATTTTATTGTTCATGTAACATTGTACTGAGATCGCATTGATACTGGCTGGCTTTTCAACAAGAAACTTATCTTAATTTTTAGGTTACGATGTATTATCTTCTTTGAAAATTGTTTTGAGCACAATAATAATGATTTCTACGGATAAGTTGGACGACGTGCATTACTATCTACTCTCTATAACATAAATATGAAGTTACCTCAACTATAGAAAAACTTGTGAATTGATCGATGTAAGGATTTTCATAATATAAGTAAAAATATTCTGCCAATTCTGCTATATAGGGTTCATGATTATTTACTTCAACATTTAACGCATAACATAATATGAATAACATTTACCTCAAAATTACTTATTTTTTGCTGAATGTTACCTTCAGCTACTTGAATATTATAATTATTCTGACATTCAATGCTAGGCTCGGTTCACAAGAAAAAGCTAGTAACACACACACACACAAGGATCCTTAATGAGAGACCATTAGTAATTGCCAGGTTACTGTTATTCTCATTGTCCTTCAACTACCATTAATGCATTTATGCTAAAATGTCTTTACCATATGCGTTCAACAAGGTCTCTTTTAATTTTACAACTACAACACAATTGGTGGCCTATTGTCTTTTGGAACACTTAATATCTTTTAAGCAATACGAGTTAGTCACTGTTTACGATAGCGACGATTGTAACTGTTCGTTGTTAACAATGAATACAAAAATTATGCTTGCATTATCAAGACGTTGCCACAATAATATTTTTGAAGACAATACAGGATTAACGGCTTCCAAAATTCGATGTGTTGAATTGATTTGTTTTAATCTAAACAAGTTACATACACACTATACAATTTTGAGCATATTTAGGTTTGTATAGAAAATGTTATTCTCTGTATGTGTGTATGAGTACAGTACGCCCAGCATCGTATTATGGAAATACCGTTGCTAATAAAATTTCACACCTCAGCCATTGTACAAATCTTCAGTTAAAAAAAATGCAATATTCTTTGTCGAATTGCCGCACTTTGATTGCAATCAATAATTCAAATTGCTGCATTACCAGTATGTTAATTCTCATATTCGTGCTTAACTTTAACTAAAACTAGGGCGATACGCAGCAAAGTTTAATTGATATGCCAGTCTCGGTACGTTTGGCAAACTACCTATACATATGCCAAGGCGCTCAAAACCTCAATCGTAAATGGAGTACGCGTGGCGCAATGTCCTGTCCTTCTTTAAAATTTACTCAGACTTAATATTACACATCTTTTACTAACGGAAAATTGTCTTTAATCACACTGAAGGAAATGGGTTGAAATCAATTTGGCGTGGTGTCTCGTCTACCAATATAGACCGTCATTTCCCGTGCGTGTTGAAAGACTCAGCTAAGAGATTGTATCAAAAGTGTGGGTAGCAACATTCAAGCACTTACACACATCATTGCACTATGACCAGTTATCCGCTTGTTATATGTGATTAACGCAACACACCGTAAGGTCATCTTTTATTAGATTTTTTTTTCAATTTATGAAAATTTACTTATAATAATTTTGCAAGTCTTTTGATACTGTTCAATAAAAAAGACTGATTCAAACGCTCTGTACACAACTCATATAAACAAGGGCTTAGAGATCCTTGTGATGAAACATTGAGTCATGTGCGTAGGTATTTCACGGTTCATATTACGTCATCGAAAATGTCATCCGTGAGACCTCGAAATTGTTCCGTCGCCATAACATTCAACCATCGATCAACATCAGTACACATGAGAACAAAATAACTTCCCGATAACAACTGCGATAACCGTTTATATTGATGATACCTAGATAGTTTCATAAAGTAAATTATATAATAGAAGTGAGTAGGTACTTATTCTAATTACTTATCAAATTACCTGTTTCTCCATTTCGAGGATGCTTGTCAGTGGATTTGTTGTTTGGCTCTAGACGTGTCACGTCTAACAATATACCCGCATCCAACGACGATTCAGTAGCGTTACTGTCGCGTTGGCAGAGATTTCCTGTCCTCCTCTTTCTTGTCCCGTAAGTATGCACAGGCACTATTAACTTTGGTCTTGGTATCGAAAAATCCGAGTCCGACCCGCTGGATGAACTTTTAGCACTCCTAGAAAACACACCATTACCATTTGTTGTGACACGCTCTTCACTAATTCGATCTTTTTGTGTTCCGAAAGACATAATGTCATTGTATCTATCGTACCTATCATCACTTTTCACTCTCACTGTATTGTATAGTTTCCCGTACTTATCACGTTTGATTTGCTTTGCAGCACCGTTTATAGTCCGATAGTCACTTTCTTTACTTTGATCAGTAGAGTGTAACCCATTTGCAATCGGCGGGGTGGATTGACTTCCGTTAAACATTTCGTACTGCATTAACGTCAGCTGTTCGCTCGGTGACAGATTCCTTTTCGGTTGCGTGACAGTGACTTCATTATAAGTCTCGTCAGGCTGGACCGCGTCGAGATAAGCTCTAAGTGGCGCTCTTCCTTCGCTTTTTACTCTCAATGATTTAGAACGAAAGCTAGGTTTATTATCATCGATGCGTCCGTTTCGTTCGTTTGCTGGTTGCGTTGTGTGCTTAGGAATTTGATCGCATGTAGATAACGACTTGTTAACAGGCTGCATGTATATACCCAAATCTTCCGCTTCACAATCTATATCGAGGTTTTGTTTACCGTTTCTGGATTTAATTGTACTTAAGTCTAAAGTTGCCATAGAGTTTATCAATTGGTACATAGTATTTCCATTTTGTTTCATGGGCTCACCATGATTACTTTTATCTTTTTTTGTATCCTTTTGCATCTGTTTTATCTTGTCACTATCAGTGTCATTATTTTGCTGACTTACCCTGGAGTAGTATTCATAATATGATTCTGAGGATGGGTCAGGTGGGACTGCACCCGGATCAGGTAATGGATAATAACTTTTCTTTGAGTCAACCTTTCTTTGTCGATGGGCATATTTTAAAGAATCCTTACGTTGAGGCGGGACAGGTGGCTGTTTACTGTTCGATGCGAACGCTTCAATATCCCATTCAGTGAAATTTCTACGTTTAACTCTTCTTAAAGTCGACGGCCTATATCCATTTGGCATATCTTTAAAACTATAACTATGTTTCAATTTATTCTGTGCGAGAAGATTATTATTTGCTCTCGCTTTCTCTTCTATGTTTTGTTGATATTTAGCTAATTGAGATATGTTTTCATTAGGAACATCGTTATTAGAATAATTATATTCATTATCTTCCAATGAATATGTTTTGCTATCATAATCTTTGTCACTAGTGCGACCAACGTCTCTGCATGATTTACTTCTTGATATGGAATTGAATTTACTAGAGTTTGATTGGTCGTCGTTTTCGTTATATGAACTGAGATTCTTTGCACCAACCCAGTTGGCTGCATATACGAGATCCATAGTTCTGTCCGTAATGGACAGCCACGGGTCCTCCATGACCGCTTTTCCAGGATAATGCTTGATTTTCATAGTGTTGTCAATTTCTTCTTTGCCGCTTCGTTTACTTCATTGTTGAGCCTGCAGATTTGGAAGTGAAAAGACGTGCTTAATAACTTAAATTCCATTTTCCCGTTGGATGGATGTTATCAACCAGCTGCTAAAGGTTACTACGGTCGAACGTCATTAGACGGGAGATTAATGTGACGCACTCGCTGTTTTTGTTAGTATACAATAATCAGGAACATAAATTACTCGAGTCAATCTGTGAAGTATACAGATTTAATGCTGCAGCAAAATTTTCAACATGTAATTGCATATTATTATCTCTTAAGGTAATTAGTTGAGTGCACATTTCTCAATTTTCCAAGTAAGTAATTGCTTTAGTAATGGCGCATTCGATTGATTAATGTATAACAATGGAATGATTTTGCAACCACTTCTATAACTACGTACTTATTCGTGTCTAGAAACTTGATTATTTTTACCCGAGACACAAAGCGAATGCAACTTCTCGACAGCTGCACAATAACTGCATTACTAACGAAGTTCTTTTCAATTTTATCTCTATAGATAATTTTTTGTGTTTCTTTACTATAATAATATCACAATAAGTTATTTTTCAATTATGACTCAATATTGTTATCGTAACAGTATTGAATGACTCACCAATATTTTCTTTTTGTGATAAAATTATTTAGATTATTATACACGCTTACTGTTACGCATTTATTTATTTATATTGGGATTTAATCATGAAACATATCATTAGATAATTTTCGTATTTAATGACAAATAATTTATAATTTTAATTGTAGGAGCAGTTTCTCGCCAATTTTATAATAAGATCTTTTACATTTTATTTTAAAGCCCATTCATCTACAAGTAAGTCAACATCAGGTACCCAAGCCTATTGTAAAGAACGTTCATGCTTAATGACCTTGAAGCCGGTATTGTTTGGGCAAAAAAATATTCTCAAGCAGTAAACTACGTAAGAGCGGACGCGTCACGGGACGCAAGCACGGCCACGACCGTTGCACAAGACATGACTTGGTCCAATACATCAACAACAAGGAAGTGCTAACTGGGCCTCAAGAGCCCATAAGGCGAATGCAAATGGAATCAAATTGCGTAATAATTAGATAATGAGGGCTGAGTGAGTGCGAGCGGTAGCTGGCGAAGCAACAGCATATGACTAGTTTATTATTAATCATAATGAAGCACTTTCACTGGGAAATTAAACGAGACTATTAAAAGCAGATGTGGATATTATTATTGTAGATATGGAATCGAAAGTCAGTCGTGTACTAGAAACGTACTTATCAAACAATAAAGATAAGGAAATAAACAAAAACAATGTGGGCGAGGGGAACAAAAACAAACGATATGTGTTTAGTTGTAACAAATTAGCAACAATCGTTAAACGCCTGATCGAGTTAGTAGGAAACGATTTCTAAGACATCAGCCGATAGACGAGTTGAAACAAGTTCATTGGTCCACATATCCAGTCGGCTGGTCAGCGATGATACGTGAGAAACATATCCAGGAACTTGAGAAATTGTGGCCAATACATGGCTAACAATTTTTCCATTAGCAGATCATAAAATGAAGATACAATAAGTCAATTACAGTGCACTGCACAGATTCAAACAGGAACGTACAGAACAGCGACTCTAATAATGACGAGTGTGATGTCAGTTATTTTATATAGAATTTGGTTTAAAATACAAACAGGAACAGTTATAGTAAGTGCCACATTTTCCTTAAATGTTTACAACGTTGAATTTTATCTTCAAACAAAGAAGGTAAAACTGTTTAGCCTTCAAACTTTAAAATGAAAACCGAATTTATGTAATAATACAACTTAATTCATAAATTTTATGAATTATATTTATTAATTTACCATAGCTGTGCCGATAATTAAACTACATCATTATAAACAAAACAAATAATTGTCAGCATTTGTTATGTTATGCATGTTTTCATTAACATTTGCAGTATAAATGCTTTGGAGGCAATAAAACCGTTGACTCATCAATGGAGTACAAAGTCATTGATAGAATGACAATTTATTAGTCAGAAGCGCAAATAGCATGCGCTGAATTTATTTAGAACTAACGGTAAGTTACACGAATCATAAACAATGGTAGCCCTTTCTCCTATTTACTCGTATTTACTATTCACTGTGACATTCGCGGTACATTATTCTATCAGGATAATATCAAAGTATTCCACACAAACAAGACAATGATAAAACAACATTTCTGTTTGACTTGCTTTGCTTAAGCAATTATTATGATGGCGTAAAATTACACTGCCGGTATTGTGACCATCAACTAACACTTCCATTTCGAAATGTCTGTATTGTACAAACACTTTCTATATTTTGATGATATATGTAATAATCGGAATAGTTATTATTGTGATAACATCGACATCGTAGTTATGTTTACCATTGTTAACATAGCACGCAAGGGAGACAATCCTACATATATGTTGATAACATCACAAGCATTTAACTTTCTAATCTTTGTTTGAATACTAAAACGTGACAATGATTCGTACGCGCATATTGAATCGATTTATGATAGTCGATAAACAAGTTCCAAAGTATGTTAATGCAATAATGATTTTAAATAAGTTAACGAAGCGTGAATTGATTCGTATTGCAATACTTGCATTGGGTCTATCATTAATTATAAAATCAGTCCTTGGTCAATTTAGTCCTGAACATAATTCGCCACAAATATTTACGACGTGACTGTTTGCACCGTATGTTCACGATTAATGTTGTTGATATCATTCAAGAGACATGGTTTCAAAGACAGTGATGTCATACTGCTCGGCCAAACATAAGCATAGAAAGCTTGGACATTAATATGCTAAAATATCTTCACTCTGAAGACAACGTTCCAAAATACTTTCACAGCACACGGGTAGTGCACGCAAATACGAGAGGCTTGCAATAACCTTGTAGTGCATGAGAGCCTCCGAAATGTTACTTTCAAATCGTTTATCGGACCAAAGGACACACGATGTGAATAAAAATATTCACGTAAAATACAATATTTTTTTAAATGTATTAAATTTAAAAAGTATTTTGTTGCATATAGTTAACCAAAAAAATTATAATTTTGCTGCAGCATTATGACTAGGGAACTAGTTAAATGAGAATCCTTTTCGGTGCACGGATTAACGTTTATCCCCCGAAATCTCTCTGGTGCAGCGACAGCTGCAACATCCGCGAATATGCACTTTATTTCAACACAAACACAGCACAATATTTACCATAGTTCAATGGAATTAGTCTCTTCAATTCGTTTTGATTGAGAAACAAAAACTATAAACAAATCACATCGCTTGTCTCACAATAAGTCGATCGCGACTATTTTAAATTCGGAACGCGAGACATTGGGGACACGGCGACCAATCACGTCAGCGCCGCTCCGCTTACTGCTCTACTCCGATCCGATCAACTCCTGCGCAAACGCAGCCGGCTGACGGCGCGTGCGATTGAGACAGACAACGTGCCAGACAAAGACGAAAGATATACTTACCTGAATAATAAAAGCTCCAAGCTCACAAAAGGTGGACGAGGTGGTGAACCTTTTAATTTTGATCCTAGAGATATACAGCAGAACATTAAATCGAGACTAAAAAAGAATTTATATCAGACAATAATGGTTTTCATGAATTCAGTACTAGTTTCACTCAAATATGTAGTTGTACACTTGTTCAAATATTGAAACAATCATAGACGACAAGAGCTTGATTAAAGTGATGATGAAAAATCAAAAAACATTGGTACAAGGTGACGTTCATTTCCATTCTCGTTTTTATCACAATTAAAACATTAATGTAGCAACAACAGGTTAAAAATGACAAAAATTCACTATCAAACATCATCATTTTGTGAACGAGTTAAATCGGCAAGGTAGTGCCCGTGACCGAATAGCTATCAAATGCTTTTCATTGTATAAAAGACCTTCAAACAGACACCAAAAAAGTCATTAGTCTATTTTAAAAGTATATAAATGTAGCGCTATTTATCTACGTTAATCATTTACACTGGTGCCTTGAAAAATGAAGATAACCAATAACCAAATACATAGTGAAAATGAATCATTGAGGGAAACATATCTATCTCAGTGAGGACTTTTCAAAAAGTCATTGACTATTCAATTATAAAGAGCTTCATATTAGTTTTATTAGTAAGAACACTTTAAATAAATGTAAATCTAAAAAGGGAAGGTTTTCGCGATTAATAATTGACGTAAACTGTGAAATCAGCGTAAATAAGTTTCTGAATGACTGACTACACAAATAATGAAGTAAATGAAAAAGAAAAGTTTATCAATAATAACAGCGAAACAAATAAAATGGAAAAGAAAGCAGATAATAGATTAAATTGCAGTAACAAACGTAAAAAATAATAATTTCGAACTGTCATTGCGGTAATCATCGAAGCGTAGAAAAGAATGGAACACGTTTTCAATGTGAATAAAGTTATAATCAGTATTTAGAATGTACATGAGTCTTAAGTACTAACGAAGACTGACTTTAAACAGCAAAAACTACAGTAAGAGGAAAGTTATCGCTTCATATAAATCACGTAACATGTCTTCTAAACCAGTTACTGTGTTCTTAGGTTTAAAAAGCGCGATATTTTTTTTCATAAAAATAAATTCTACAGTTAAATTTCCGCGGTATAACGTGCAGTAATGGGTGCAGAACATAACCGCTCCGTTGGACATCACTGAGATATCATCATAAACGTATTATACACAGAATTCGTGATCACAAAACTCGTTCTACAAGACGTGTCGAAGATATAAATTAGGTTCATGTTTCATAATTTGTCTAGTCCTATCTTCTTGTTTTACATTTGCATCATTATCCACATGTCATGTTCTTCCTAAACGATGTGATGTGAGTGACAAAGATATTCTTCCTTTGCTTGCTGCTACTTGGTGCTAATGGAAAATTTTCCTTCTTTGTTTTTATTTTCCTTATTTTGGGTTAACATGATGTACAATCCTTTATCTTCCTCCTTACATCATTCATTTAGTTGTTTTTCGGTGTTTATATTTATTTATATCAAAACTGTTGCTGAGTAGTAAAACGCCATGTAATTATGGTCAGACTCAACGAATCGAAAGTTCAAGTAAAAGCAGAAATGCTAATCTCGAAGATGTTCAGTCGGATTTCATTTGTGACGCAATTATTCCACGGTCAAGGCTGTAGGCTGTAAATACTGTGATGGTTTCACTTTTAAGTACTTTTGTTGCCTTCAAACGGCTTTACGCTATATATAGGTGTACGTTCTATATTTTATTAAAACCTTCATCTGGTGGTAAAGAATAATCCTGGCTGAAGTTTTAGAATGTGTCATAACATGTTATAGAAACCACTTTTGCCTACTCATTTGGGAATAACCAATGATTACTGATATCATTATTGTCTTCTTCGCAGACATATCTTTATCTTGAGTTATTGGCTTTTAAGGAAAATCCCAAACTAATGTTTCGTTTTCCATTTTTTTTACCCTGAATGACTAGTATGAATACTCTTTTCATTTCTCCCTGTTAATTTCAAGTTTAAACGAAAATTCCACCGTTCACACCACAAATATCTACTTATGCAGTCGTCTCATTCATTTACAACCGTCCAAATGGGACGGGTGAATAGATGCTCATAGCATTACTTCCATTTGTTGCCTTATCTAATTGAACAATGAAGACAGGCATGCAGCCATTCTTTCCCCTCGTTTAAATATAACGCGGTATCAATGAATGACGTCATCGGCCCGTATCTTAATTGAAAGGGTGTCCTTATGCCGTGCTGTGGTAGTGAATACGTTCATTTTACAATTTATAGACTGTGGAACACACGGTGACTGGACAATAATGATTATAGTGTGTTGATTAGGTATGTTTTGTATTGATGGGTATCTCACCAGATTGCAAGAAATGGTAGAAAGTGATTAAAACATGCAAAAGTCGTAGAGAAATAATTTTTCATCACCGTTCAACACTGTTAATATTATAGTTTAGAACGACCGATCACAACGAGAATTACATACTTATATTACAATACAAAATGACAATTTCGAAATCATACATAAAGTACATCACACCAACAATAACAGAAAAAAAACATGAAATTCACACTAGACCTAAATCGTTGACCAGAACCAAGCAAATGGTGGTTATTACGCAACAGCACAAATGTTAAGTAACTGAAGACAGTTGTAACAAGTTTTAATAGAGCCAATATTAGAATTGGGTCACGATAACAAGGCAAAACATTGTTTATAGTAAGAACTGGAGATCATGAAGAGAAATCGTCAGATATGGATGGTCAGTCAGACGGAATGCACGCGTGGCGACACATTGCTAGATAATGCTCTTGCACACGCTGAGAATATTCTAGAACGTCTTAGTAGTAAATTAGACGCTCCAGTAAAATTAATCCAATTATATAACTTGACATAATATCACGATTGTTACTATCGCAATATCACGCATTTGTAGAAATAGAAGCGGACATTTTAGTTGTAGTATGTACTTACAGTTCGTAATGATTTTTGAGTCCAGTAAAGTAAGCAGGACGACAAATCATCGTATGGTAGAATTTTTTAAGGTTTAAAACATAATATAAATTTCCTCGTTTCATAAACTCAAGCTACTTCTGAAATGTTACTTTTGACATAGGGTCCGCGGAACCAAAGTACGACGAAAATCAAACAAATATAATATTTACCTACTAAAGTAGGTACGTCGCAGCGATATCATTACCTATTTAATTTAAAAATATCGTTAACCACGATAGTGTCTATTTACGTAAAAATAAGTGAAGTTACATAGTAATAAAAAATATTACGCCATTTTCTTCATTTTTGCGATAATAATATGATGATTGCATAGAAATACTTGAAATAACCAACCTAAGTACAAGCGCTAGAAATATAACATGCTGGCAGCACCTAAATGCAAATGGAAGCAAAGCAAAGTTCCAATGTTAAAACTGGAGCTTTGAACGAAATGTAGCAAATGGGTTCATTGATACTGCCAAAGATAAATTATATGCCCTACTTCTGAAAACTACACCTATGGCAATACATAGTAATGATAGTCAAGATCGAGTCATAACAGGCGTTAATTTGTTAACAGGTCAAATACGTATTATAAACAAAAATCTAGCCAACACCGTAATTCCGCTGTTACGAAACTCCTGCCCAAACAATTCATGCGTTGCCTCACAGAATAGTGCCCATACTACAACAGATAATTTGTCACATCCCTATGTTATAGAAGTCCACTATTACTATGTGCCTGATTCTGAGACGATTCACACAATAGGCTCAAATGTTTCGAGACATTAAGGTCGAGTTGGTCAACGACCAGGCTAAGCGAGTGGAACTTAAAGGAAAATTGCTTATTGCGTCAGATTGATGCGATTTGTAAAATTTCGGAATAGGTACGCAATTTCGTACGCACTCGATTTAAACACATTATAGTTTGCAACGAGACGTGACAAACATGTTTTGGACAAAAAGTTGTAAGAATGGACGTTCTTGCGAAATTATTTTGTGTGTATTCAGCAATACTAACTCAATATTCTAGGTTCATAGTCGAATCAAAGTATTTATTGGCAAATATAAAGTTCTCATTCATAATGAACACGATCTCAAAATTTTCTATTAATCAATTACCAAAATGAAAGTAGACTATTGTAAGTACATCTTACGTAAGACTATTAATATAACACAAATGTCCTAAACCTTTATTCTCCTTTAAAATAGAAAATGAGGCTATTATGCCACTGTTATGTCAGAATATCATAATTTGACCACTATTTTGTTTCACATAGGGTCTCTCTCACATTCCTTGACCTCTTGAGAACTACAAGAAATATAATTTCGCATTCTGATATTCTAAAATATTCATATTATTACAAAACTGTTATTATGATGTTTGTTTATAAATCGTAAATTAAAAGATTTTGTCAAAGAAAGACGTAACATAGAAACATATGAATACTTGAAATTCGATAGTTTTATTCACCGCTGTAGGACATACTCACGCGTAGCAATATGGTCAAATCCTATAGTATAGACGGTATAGACCTAATAATATAACTAACAAAACTGCAATAAACATACACAATAATAGGGTAGTATCTTAAATTTTATTGATGTGTCCGTCTGGTAGATTATTTTAAAACATTAGACACGTATTTTTTTCTTTTCTTCCAAAATTAAATACTTTAGGCGAAATGTTGATTTAAAATATCATTTTACGACGATCGACGTCATGATTCACCACATTTTATAGGGTAGCGTGACGTAACGACCGTTTTGTCTAAGTATTGTTTTCTTATTTTTATTTTTTATTTTATTTATTTAGAAAACCAACAGCGTTACATATAGTTTACAAAAGTTTGCGTGAATTACAGAGATTAAGGCTCTTAATTCTATTCTTTTCTTATAAGACAAAATAAAAAAATATTTGTCTAATATGTTTTTATTATCGACGGACTAATTACATTTTCAATTTTCATACACTGTCTATTACCCTGTTAAGAAAAAAGTGAAGGACATAACATAAATAACGATTGGGTATATCATGAAATATCTTTTTTTATAATGAAACGTTCCTGTTTCACCAGTCAAAGAAGTAATTTTGGTTTTCTGATAAGTGAAGACACAGTATTGTGATAACATATGTTATATATACTAGATAATTAGGGGTCAGACGCTGTGTTATCGTACCAAAAACGGTGGCGTAATTAGGTACTTGAGACATATTTGTGGCCATTCGTTATTTTAGCTATGGGTATTGAAGGCTCATCTTTGTTAGCTGTAAATGTCAGTAGGTTGTGTGGAAACATTTTGTACTTACAAGGTGTTTTGAGTTTCTGATTGTAAGTTTTAATATAAAAAAATATTTTAACGTTCTAAAATAATAACCCGACATTATCTTACAGTTTTTCGTATTTAGCCAGACTTCGTCCAAATTGTACAAATCGTTATCAAAATGATGTTTACTTGAAAATAGTGTCAACCTGTGGAAATATCGTACCCTAAATTTGTTCATACAAAAGTAGTCTCTAAACCTCGGAAATGAGGT